GCATAGGCTCACCCCGACCACCTCACCCCTGTGCATAGGCTCACCCCAACCACCTCACCCCTGTGCATAGGCTCACCCCGACCACCTCACCCCTGTGCATAGGCTCACCCCAACCACCTCACCCCTGTGCATAAGCTCACCAGGCCACCTCACCCCTGTGCATAGGCTCACTCAGGCCACCTCACCCCTGTGCATAGGCTCACCAGGCCATCTCACCCCTATGCATAGGCTCACCCGTGACACCTCACCCCTGTGGAGAGCAGAGTACACCCTGTAAGAACTGGTTCCCTCCTTCTACCACGTGGCGACTGGGAGCTCAGGTCATCAGGCTTGGAGGCAAATACCACCGAGTCATCTTGTCAACCCTTCCCCTCTCCCTTTATGTGGGTTTTAGGCTCAAACTCAGGTTATCTGGTTTGCACCATCAGGCAAAAAGTGCTTTAAACATTGAGCCAGCTTGCTGAACATTTTTTATATAATTATTTTTTGAGACAGGGTCTCAGGTAGCCCTGGCCTCAAATTCCCAAAGTAGCTCATGATGTCCTTGAATTCCTGATCCACCTGTCTGTACCTCTCAAGTGCTGAGATCAGAGGGGTGTGATCCCACACCTAATTTTATACAGTTCTGGCATCGAACCCAAGGTTTTCAGTGTGCTAGGCAAGAGCTCTACCAACTGAGCTATGTAGACAACTTACTTAAACCTCATAACCCTCTCACCAATGTGAGGACCACCACTGTCCTCCCTGTCTCAGAGCCAGAAATGGAGACCCAGGGAGACTAACCCTGAATATCATGGCAGGCTCTGTGTGCAGCCGTCTGCCTGGACTGAGCCCCCAGACTCATCTAGATACAGAGGGAATAGTTTGAATCTGAACCATCCCCTACAGGCTCATGTAAATGGGGGTTTCTCTCCCACCTAGCAGTTCCTGAATAACCACTCTGAGACTTAATATTAATTACAAACTGTTTGGCCTATCAGTTCAGGCTTGTTATTAACTAGCTCTTACAACTTAAATTAACCCAATTCTGTCGTTCTGGACTTTACCACAAGGCTTGTGACTTGTTACCTCACATCTTGCTTCCTTGGTGGCTGCTGGCATCTCCATGACTCCATCTTCTTTCTCCCTGTGTTTCTGCTTGGATTCACCCTACCCAGACTCTATTTAGCATGGCTATTGGCCAAATCAACTTTTCTTCATTAACCAATGGTAATGAAACACATTCACAGCATACAGAGGGGCATCCCACATCAGGCTCAGGTTTTGAACACTTATTCATTCCCCTAGAATTTCTAGAAGGTTGTGGGATCTAACCGATGGAAATGGGTCACTAAGGGTAGGCCTTTGAAGGTTGTAGTCTGACCTATAGTCCTATCCCTGAATTCCTCCACATCCTCCCTCTTCTGCAATGCACACCGGCCTGCCAAGCCTTGCCTACTATGATGGAGCAAACCCCTCTGAAACCATGAGCCACAATGAATCTTTCCACCCTTGACTCTCAGGTATTTTGATCATAGTGATGTAAAAGCAACTGATTCAGCATCTTTGCCAGGTTCACAACACATTGGCATCAGGTAGGCATGCGTAAAGGACGGAGTATGGAGCAAAAACACTTACCAGGACCCAGGAGGTAACCAGCACTATTGAGGGTCCATCCTCCTCGTCCCTGGAAGAGATGAAGAAAAGTGGACCAAGATAAGAAAGTGGCAAGATCCCAGAAGTCTAGGGTGATGTAGATCACAACATCGCCTTGATACTAACCAGTGACACAGCTTTGCTTAGTCCCTAGTTCAGCCCTGTGCTGTTAGGATTTCCTATAACCCAGAAAGTGGAGGGCCTGGGCAAGGTGGCTCAATGGGTAAAGATGCTTTGGTGCAAAGTATGACCTGAGTTCAACCAGGACACACCTTGCAGAAGAATAGATGTTACTCCTGCAGGTTATCTTATGACCTCTACATGCTCACAGCATGATGCACAACCCCCACAACAGACAGACAGACAGACTGTAGGAAACAGGACTAGCCCAAGTTAATCTCCAATGTCTGACCCTCCTGCTTCTGCCTCCTGAGTGCTGGGATTAGAGGCGCGCATCACCATGCCCTTGGGGATGGACCTAGAGCTTCTCGCTGGCAGACAGGCACACCACCAACTGAGCTACATCCATTATTATGTGCATTGGTGTTTTGACTGCACGTATGTCTGTGTGAGGGTGCCTGATTACTTAGAACTGGAGTTATAGACAGCTGTGAACTGCCATATGGGTGCTGGGAATTGAACCTAAGTCCTCTGGAAGATCAGTCAGTGCTCTTACCCACCGAGCCATGTCTCCAGTCCTTCTCTTTTCTTATCCCTTTATTTTTTCACCGTCCTCCACTCCACTCTCGGGGCCAAGTTGATGAGGTCACCCCCTGTCTTTCTTCTCAGGTTTATGACATTAACTTGTCCCCTACAAAGACCCCCTGAATCAAAGCAGAAAAAAATATGCAAAACCTCTCCTCAGAAGGGAGGCGTTGGTTACCCTGTGAACAGGCACAGTCTCGGGGGTCCCTGCCAGACTCAGCAGGATGGCGACAAGGAGGGCCAGATGCATGCAGGCCATTCTGAAGCTGGAGGAACAGGGCACACAGCTGGTGGATGCTGTAAAGACAGAGCGAGCGTTATCCTTGCCACTGGGTGGCGGTGGCGCACACCTTTAATCGCAACAATCCGGAGGCAGAGACAGGTGGACCTCTGTGTGAGTTCAAGGTCAGCCTGGTCTACAGAAAGTTCCAGGACTGACAGGGCTACACAGAAAAACCCTGTCTCTAAAAAACAAAATAAAACAAAAAGTTATTCTCCACAGCAGGGTTGTGTACCGCTGTGATACGGTGGAAAGAGTTTTACAGAATGAATTTGATCTATTTCATCCCCTGGAAAAAAAGGAAAGTACACATAGAGCGTAGAGCTGAATGAGTATGGCCATATGCATGAAGCATGACATCATTGCTATGACCAACAGTGGGTAGATAATGTCTTTTTATCTTATTTTTAATTTTATTTATTTATTTATTTATTTTGGTTTTTTGAGACAGGGTTTCTCTGTGTATCTCTGGCTGTCCTGGAACTCACTCTGTAGGCCAGGCTGGTTTCGAACTCACAGAGATCCGCCTGCCTCTGCCTCCTGAGTGCTGGGATTAAAGGTGTGTGTCACCACTGCCCAGGGTCTTTTTATTTTAAATATATCATAGAAAAATAAGATGAACATTCTGATCTGTTTGTTTTGGCATCTCTCCTCTTTGTGTTTTTGTGTGTGTCGAAGTAGGGGTTGGTAAACAGAAACTGAATTTGGGGCTTTTCCTACACAAGCATTCTACCACTAAGCCACACCTCCAGCCCCTCACTGGCGGATTCTAGGCAGGGGCTCTAACACTGAGCCACACCCCCAGCCCCTCACTGGGGTATTCTAGGCACGGGCTCCACCACTGAACCACACCTCCAGCCTTTCACTGAGGGATTCTAAGCATGGGTTCCACCTCTGAGCCACAACCCCAGCCCACCCACAGCCCCTCACTGGGGGATTCTAGGCAGGGGCTCTATTATTAAACTATACATTGCTGGTACTTTTAATATGTTTTATTTTGATATAGAATCTCACTAATTTCCTCAAGGTGACCTTAAATTTTTGCTTGTTTGTTTGTTTTGTTTTGTTTTGTTTTGTTTTTCGAGACAGGGTTTCTATGTAGCTTTGAGTCCTGGAACTAGTTCTTGTAGACCAGACTGGCCTCGAACTCACAGAGACCCGCCTGCCTCTGCCTCCTGAGTGCTGGGATTAAAGGCGTGCACCACCACTGTCTGGCCCTGCCTCAACTTCTTAAGCAACTGGGATGGCAGGCTTGTGCTACAGGATAAACCTACAGGGTGCTCACTTTTTAAACTCAGGCTTTCTTCAAACTCTGATCCTCCTATGATAAATATATGCCACATCTGGCTTAAAGGTTTTTTTAAGCTTCATTTTGAAATATGTGCTTAAAAAAACAAGGACTCAGAGGTTAAGAGCACTGACTGCTCTTCCAGAAGTCCTGAGTTCAATTCCCAGCAACCACATGGTGGCTCACAACCATCTGTAATGAGGTCTGATGCCCTCTTCTGACCTGCAGGCGTACATGCAGGCAGAACACTGTATTCATGATAACTAATTTTTAAAAAAAAAATGACTCTTGTTTCCACAGGAGAAGAAAAATTGTGGATACCATCAAAATTAATAAAGGTTCGATTTGAAGAGGAGAAACCTCTTGGAAAGGAGAAATGACAGCTCATCCACAATGATGATATTCATACAGTTGGTAAGAAAAACATATAGAATGGGGGCAGGGTTCTGTTCTTATCTCCACAGGAAAACACTGATTTTTGAAAAGTTCAAGGGACCCTGGATATCTGAATACTGACAGATGGAAAATAATGGCCCAATAAGGACTATCAAGAAAACTGAATAGGTTCTGTAAGTAAAATATACTAAATCATATTTCTAAATTTATAGAGCTGGTTTTAGAGTTGGACTCTGGCTCAGTCCCTCTCTAATTCCAAGCCTGTTGTTAAAAGAAAAACCCAGAGTTTCTGGAGTTTCTGTCTCATGTCAAGAGTCATGATATGGGACAGAAAGGAATATGAGTTTAGAAAACATCTTTACTTTTCTTCATATCTATCATACCTTTCATTAAATATATCTATCATGTCTTTTATTGAATATATGTATGTCTGTATATGTCTATATGATTAATATATGATTATATATTATTATAATCATATAATATATGATATTAATATATGATTTATATATATGATTAATGTTTAAGTTTTCCACAATGAACAATAAGTTTTTCCTGCAGTGATATTTGAAGTTTCCAGGAAGAAGATGGGGCCCCATAACAACAACTCCACCTGGTTGAGATGACATCATGATACTGATAGCGCTACTACAAGACCTGTTTTGATTACCAGCTGCACAAGACGATTCCAACGTGGTTAGCTGAAATGATGCACATCTTGTACAACATTCTGGCCAGTCCTCCACAAAATACTCAGAGACTATTTGCAATTTTAAAAGACATTGATCTTGAAATTTAACCATCATTTTGCTTTCACAGGATCCCCCAGAAAGAACGTTGCCCCCATGACAGCTGGAAGTAATTCTAGAGAACGACGTCCCCTCTCCCAGTAAAGTTTGTCCTTGGGTTTAGGGACATCATTTAGGGGTGGGTTATAATTAGTATAGGGTTGAGGGCTGGGGGAGGAATTTTATAAGCGCAGGAATCCAAAAAAAAAAAAAAGAGGGATAATTGGATTATGGGATAATAGCTTTGTACTTGTGAGTTATTGTTTTTAGACAAACATATTGGTATTGATTCTTATATATTGATACAAACTTAAATTATGTTGACTATTTTATGCATGCATGCTTCTACCTCTGTTTAAAACATTTTTATGTATTGACATATATATATTGTATTGATATATGTATATTTTACCATATTGCATTGTACACTTCTACCTCTGATTAAGATACTTATATATTGTTTATGTATTGATATATATATTTACCATATTGCAATGTATACTTGCACATTGTTTATATTTGGAGGTCATATTGTCCCCATTTATTGCACAGTTGTTTACTATTTCAGTCTTTAAGTTAGATAGATATTGAGAATAATATAGATCAATAGTCATCTAAGTTTGTCATTTATAATTAGACTAATCAGGTTCTTTAGATACATAGACATTATATTCAGTATAGATAGATAATCTTCAACCTCTTCAAAGAGCTGTAGAAAATGGCCTTTAATCTAACTCAGAGTTCTGTGGTAGGGAGACACAATCGCTCCTGGCAACACTGATCTATTCCCGAGAGAATGTTGAGCACCAAAGACACTCCACCTGGAGCCTTTCTTCTTGACAGAACTGGCCTTTGGGTAAAGAAATGCCCATACCTCAACTACTGACAGAGTTACAGAGTATCCGTAAATGGATAAAACAGGACTGTCATATCCTGCCAAGACAGGATAAGATAGTTTTGAAAAGTTCCTTGCCTTTGAAAATGGTATGTCAGTTACGTTAGGCCTTAGCCAAAGTTGGTTGCTTCAACGCTGCAAACGTGATTTGGGGTGTTTGCCCAGGTATCCAGTTGTCTATGTGATTTGTTACATGTTCTGGAAGTTTGATTGCACTTCCTAATTACTCAGGTAACATTATTTCCCTTCTCAGATCTTTGATGGGATTGAAGATTATATAAATGTAGTTACTTTCTTTTCATGACGTGGCCAAGTTATTTCTTATACAAGACTTAAGCTAGTTAGAATAGGATATTTGTATTTATTGTATATAATTGTGTAGGTTTGTACTTACTGTATATAATTTCATAGTAGGCTTAGAACTCTCTTACTTAAACAAAAGGGGGAGGTGTTGTGGGAGTAACTTCCGCTGCCTCAACCAATAGTCGCTGAAATATGAGCCCACAGTGCGGCGGGGAGCAACTTCTGCTCCGTCAGCCAATAGCTGCTGAAATACCAGCCCACTGGGGCATGGTATATTTCTCTTTTAAAAAGAGAAGCAGATCCGGATCAGGCCCTCTTGGTTCCGGCTCTTGGTTCCGGTGCTTGCTCCTGGCTCCTGCTCCCGGCTCCTGCGACTAGGCTCCCTTCCTGACGGTTTATGGTGTATGTAAGTTTTATCCCCCAAAATAAATAACCCCTTAAAACATAACTGGTGTGGGATTGATTCGCCAATACTGTGCACTCCAGAGGTGCAGGCTGGAGGGTCAGGAATGCAAAGTCATCCTTGGGTTTGAAGCTAAACTGGGATACAAGATACTGTTTAAAAATGAAAAATGGTGCCGGCAGTGGTGGCACATGCCTTCAATCCCAGCACTTGGGAGGCAGAGGCAGGCGGATCTCTGTGAGTTCAAGGCCAACCTGGTCTACAGAGTGAGTTCCAGGACAGCCAGGGCTACACAGAGAGACCCTGTCTCAAAAAACAAAAAAAAAAAACACTTTCTACTTTGCTACTGTTGTAAAAGAGAGAGAGAGGGAGGGAGGGAGGAAGGGAGGGAGGG